TTCGGCATCTTGTGCTTACTTCCTTGCGTACGGATGACTGCTGCGTATGACTATATTTATTTTCTGGTGCTTTCACTTCCTGAGACAGTTTTAAGCACTGTGTAACTGCCTCGAGGGTGCTTGGCCATTTTAACACAACGTGGTGCGATCATCCCCCTTGCGCGGAGTGAGGGTTCTCCACCCCGCACAACATGATCTACTCGACCACCATTATGGTTACCGCCAAAAAAAAAACGGAGGTAGCAAAAAAAAAAAACGGTAACCTGGTTGCCGAGTTCACGAAGTGAATTGGCTTGTTTTACAACGTCTTTGCCAAGCGACGAAAACCCAATCCCGATGGCAAACACCGGGGGGGGCGGCTTGTTTTACAACGTCGTTGCCAAGCGACGAAAACCCAACCCCGATGGCAAACAGCGTGGGGGGGGGAGCGATAGATCGCACACGCTTCCTCTTGACGTGCACACACTTCTTCTGTGATGTGCACACGGTTGTCATGTGCTCAGCGGAAAACGTGGCGTTCCTGAGTGTACGGTGCAGCCGTGCAGATCATAGCGGCATCGCGCGCCTCCACGCAAGTCCAGGCAAACAATGGCGACCAAGCGAACATAATAAGCTGATTTGATGGCTTTTCAAGCGCTTCCTCACGTATTTACCGACAACGAATAAGATGACGTCCACATACAATCACAGCACAGCAACAAACAAACGACGACAATGACAACGTCCACATCAAGCCAACCAGAGTAACACTTTACATTCATTGCTAATCTACCACGGACTCTGATCATCGATTTGTTACGCTATTTGTAAGAAAAAGAAGAGGACACGTCGACGATGACAACGCACAACAGGTACCTCAAGGTCCTCCGGCACCAAGAACTGCATGATGTGACCTCTGTAAGTTCGCAGCGGGCATTCCTCCCGCTGGCAAAAGCTGGGCTTCACCACTCTGCCATTGTAGAGCATCCTCATGAACTTCTCCGCCCCAATCTGCCCCCCCTCCACCTGGGCGACAACCAATCAGCAGCAGCCGTGAACGATAACAAAATGAAAGGAAAGTTAAAGTTTCTTCGTCGAGCAAAATATACACGACGTAGAAGTAATAAACCATTTATTTCTTAATGAAACCGTCAATTGTCGCCTCGTTATTTGTCAGAAACCGAGAAATCGATGTAGGAAGTTGATACAACGGTCGAATTGAAGCCTCGTTACTTGCCGGAAACTCGGGGTCATGAGTGGAGAAATCATGGCAGCCCTCTTTTTCGTCATTCTGTAGACAAGAGCACGCGGCAACGAGCGGAAGCTACAAGCGGCGCGTGAGGAGACGGAAGGACAGCAAGCCTCTCACGGGATATGGTATGAAAAACAATCGGGCATCGCGCACGCACACCCAGCCCAATTCTCTTCCTGTGCGCAATCTGCGCCTTCTCTCGGTTGGCCATGCTCTAGTGCTTTTTTGTCTAAGCGGCAACATGTGAATGAACTACGATAGCTGCAGCACGAAAAATAGAAACCGCCGCCAGCACAACCACAAACTCCAGCAACACCCACCATCCCACCATCATCAACGCCGCAACATGCACAATAGACAACACACCATCCGGACCATGTCGCATTCTCTCACCCGCGGGAGGGCCTCAGCTTCAGTCCTTCGCCAGAGCTCCAGCACAATGTTGCTGGCGTATGGAGGCCACGCCCACTCCGTCACGTTCAGGGCGGCCAAAATGCCTCCCACGGTGTCTACCTCACCGGAGTATACCTGATGAGACGCCGCCGCAGAGCGCCGTAGGAGTGCCGTTGAGACGTTCGCGCGCGCCGGCAGGTGGGGGGGTAGATGATTGAGGATGGCGACGTGGAGTACGGCGCAACAAAAAGCAGCAGCACCAGCAGCACCACCGAAACCACCGACGACAACCGCAGGAAACAGAAGCAGCAGCAACAGATACAGCTGCGACAAAGATGAGCCACCGGCAACAACAAAGACGCCGACGACAAGGAAGGCAGCAAGCGATGGCACCAACACACAAGCGACCACAGCAGTGACCACCGACACCGTCACCACCAACACGACTACCACAAACGATGAGGCGGTCGAGTCGCCTCGTGGCTCCGATATATTGTAAGAGGCGGCTCCAATATACGTGGGTCGAGGGACTTTTTTAGTCATTGTCGTCACGCCACCCTCACATATCGGCGCCGCGACTGCTGTACTGCTGCAAAGTCGTGGATCCGTTATATAAGGGTACCTTAGAACAGGGGGCTCCGATAGAAGAGGGTCACGACTTCGACCCTCGGGGGTATAGTTGAGCACTCTCTTTATTCGGTAGAAAGAGGGACTCCGATATAAGAGGGCCCAGGGCCTTCGTCACGCCACCCTTGTATATCGGAGCCACCACTGCTGTACACCAAATGCTCTTTAGCCGCACCTGTACAGATCCCTTTTTCCTCGTCGAGGTTTGGTCGGAAGTGGCCTCTTCTTCTCCCGTAAATCTCCTGGTCACACGAAAGCCGAACCGCACGCATGCGCGCAACACATCCGCACAAAGTACAAGTTGCGTACACTTCCTAGAGAAGATTAGCCCGTACTTGTACACAAGGCTGCCCTCTCCGGAGAGGGCACAAGGCACCACAGCCATGCCATCAAGGGGTGGCGCGAGCTATATATAAAGAAAAATAGCATGGTGGTGGCGACAACAATACACATCTTTTATTTTATTTTGATCGGTCTCCTCGACGCTCTTTCTCGTTTGGTGCGGTAGCTGGTCTTTCTTTCTATCATTTTGTTTCTCTTCCGAGTGGTTTTTGTACCCTATTTTTTTCTGTTTCTTCGTGGGGTCGTGTATGCCGGGTTTTGAGACCACGGGCACCCAATCTTTCTTTTTTAGAGCTAATGTGAGAAACAACAACAACAAAAACAACATCAAATTGCATGGCTGTAACACACACACCACACACAAATGAACACACATCTTGCACGACTGTTTGAACACACACCTCAGACAAAAAAACAAGGTCATCAAAAACACATCGCTTTGCACGGCCGTTCTAACACCCACAACACAGCACACACAAAAGCACATGACATCGTTCTGCAGGACCGTTTTCAAACACACGCTCACAACACGCATCTTGCACGACTGTTTGAACAGAACACACACACACACACGCATATCGGTTTGCACCACTGAACCGCTTACGCGGCCCTTCACTGACGATGCTGTTCCGGCGGGGGCCTACTTCTCACCCTAAGTTATTCAGCAGAAGCGCCAGCAGCGGTCCGGCGAACAAACTCGCTGTCTCCGTGCGCTGCCGAAAGCAAATCCAACCCGACACCCAAGACAGAAACAGCAGCAATCCATCGCGTGTGTGGAGGGTGGTTGAATGCCGAACATAGACGTGAACAATACAGTGTTGGTACCGGTGGTACACCGCGCGTGGCGGGGGG